TTACAGATGGGGCAGAGCTGGCCCCAAAGCCAGCAAGGCAAAGGGATGTGGGCAGCACAAGAATGGCACCCACAAGAAGTAATTGCTGGAATTGGTTGGTCAAGCATGAGAGCACGGATCCTATTCTTCCTACATCAGACACCTCCTCCCTGAGAAGAACAAAGTGGCCAGGTCTGAATGGATAGCTCCTTTCCAATCTCAGCAAGCAAGGCTTTTCCCAGCAAGGGCTACATGCCAACATGCCACTGTATTTTATTCCAAGCTTGGACAACATGATTGAGGTCACAAGAAAATTCAAGAATTAATGATGCACTTTAAAGAAAGAAATGTAGAAAAAAAAAAAGAAAAAAAAAAGATGTGCTGAGCTCATGACTAATCTTTGCAGCTCTTGGTATGGGCAGGATTTGCACAGCCATGTTGATTTTTTATAAAAATAGTAAATCGTATTATCCCCATGCTGCAAGACCAAAGATTCGCAATGATACCTTAATGCAGATTAAATAAAAATAGCACTACCTGAGTCAATCTGAGGATGATAATGCTTTGTAATCCTGCACTATTAGAGGATGAACATTTGTATAGCAGTGAATCAACACGAGATACTTGCATGAGGAATGCTCCTTTTCCCTTTGCTGAACAGTGACATTTATACGAAGTGAAGAAGGTGAGGGGTGGTTGGAGGAGGCACAGCACACAGAGAGGAAGACAGAGCTATCAAGGGGTAACTCTATAATAACATGTATATAACATGCATAAAATACTAACGCCACTTTTTAAGGCTGCGCCCCACTATCTTCCAGTTCTGATATCCTGGCTATCTCATTAAGCCTGCTTTTAATTTTTTTCCCTGTTGCTGTAAAGAATCAAGTAAAATCTTTAAATTTTCAAAGTTCTTCCAAACTGGGCAATCAGGAAGCCTGTGAGAGCTCAGAATCTTCTGATTCATTCATAAAAACAAAAACAGATGAATAGCAGTGCTGCACATTCATTGTTGTTTTTTTCCTTAATATCCTTGAATGAGCAAACCGTACACATTAGAAGCAATACAACACAGAAATGCCTCAACAGTGGAAATGCTAATAAGATCCATTTATAACAGAACCTAGAAGAACAGAAAGCTTCAAATATCACTTTTTAAGGCTGGTTGCAGGAAGAGGAGAAAAACGTAAGCTTTGATTGGTGACACATTTTAAGCCATAATAAATTCTTCTCAATTATGCTGTTACATAAGCGACTCACACAAAGGTACTTCACTTGCTATTGTGCTCCCCATTTGTGCTTTTTTAAGACAAGTTTTCCAATTCACTGCACATTTGTTCTTCCCTGCTGCAATATATCCGTGCGTATAGCAGACATCTGGCCCTCACAGCCTGCTGCAGAAGGTTTTATCAAACTGTGGGGAAAGGTAAGAGAATAAGCTAATGCCAGTGAAAGGTATCCCTTTCCCCAGCAGGAGAAGCCAGGGGGCTTTCCAAGGCAGTAGCACAGAGAATGTCCACAAATGAGGGAGAATAGCCTCAATTCCCCCTAGCCTCCTTGACTTCAAGCTACGGCAGGGGAGATTCAGGCTGGACATGAGGAAGTATTACTTTTCAGAAAGGGTGGTCAGGCACTGGAATGGATGCCCAGGGAGGTGGTGGAGTCACCGAGCCTGGGGGTGTTCAAGGAAAGGCTGGATGTTGTGTTGAGGGACATGGTTTAGTAGGAGCTATTGGGAATAGGTGAACGGTTGGACTGGGTGATCTTTTAGGTCTTTTCCAACCTTGGTGATTCTATGATTCTATGACTTCCTCCTCCTTCTCTTCCAAGGTGAAGGAGGAGGTCCCTGTGCTGGAGATCTTGCACACCAACAGCAGAGGGATCACCCCAGCCCTGATCTATATGACAGGAGTATTCCCCAAAATACCCAAGTACCAATTGCAAGAGCACTCAGATTTCCATGACAAGATGCAGGCAGTCCCCAGGCATCTCCACGAGCCCAACTTCCAATGCCCTGTGAGATCTCCATTCAAGGGGTGCTACCTTCCCCCAGAAACAAAGCTTGCACAGGTTTCAGCTCAATTTCCAGTTTGAGAATCACAGAATGAAATAATCATTTGAGTTGGAAGGAAACCTTACAGACCATCTAGTCCAACTCCACTGCAATGAACAGGGATGCCTACAGCTCCATCAGGTTGCTCAGAGCACCGTCCAGCCTGACCTTGGGTGTCTCTATGGATGGGGCATCCACCACCTCTCTGGGAAACTCATAAAATGTTTCTCCAAGCTATTTGAATAGGACAGATCTTTGGTGGCAAAAACTCAATTCTCTACTTTAAGATTGAAGTCTTGATGTCCTCGCAGGTGCTGATCTTGATGTCCCATCCTGGACTATTGCTCACAGCCCCATTTCAGCCATAGAGTCCCATGCCCATGCAAATGACAGGCAGTTTTGTCTGTTCCTCACCCCATTCCACATCCCATCTTCCCTCTCCTACACATCTTTGTTTTCCATTTGCTGCCACCCTGAAGAAAAGCATATAGCTCTAGCCACTGAATTCATGCCCCAGATGGAGAAGACCCCCATGCAGAAGACACCCAATGTCACTGCTGGGGTACTGCTATCCTGCTGGCACCCAGGATACACAGCCTCCTAGCAGAACCACCAGAGCTCCAATTTGGCTGTCTTGCACAGAGTGGCCCCAGTTCAACATGCTCCCATCACATGCAGTCTCTGGCTGGGACAGTGCCTGTGCTCAGAGCTGCTTATCTGCTTACAGGCAGCACTGCAGCTAAAGAGCTTGCTCCATCAGAGCCTGCAGTACCCCATCAGGAGAGCACTGAAGCAACATGCTCCAACACCCCATCCTGGCTGAGGCCACCACACTCAAGCACCCAGCTGAAGATGAGGCTCCCAAAACCCTCCTCAGTGGCTACTTTGTGCACTCTCCACACCAAGAGTACTCACTGTGAGTGAGATCCAAGCTACTGCCAGGCACTTTCATGTTTGTCATGGTGCTCCCCTTGCTCTGAAGCCACCCCCACACCACAGACCACATGCTGTATTTTGAAAGTTGCCCAGTGGTCTCAGCACTTCAAGCCTATCTGTCTGCCCATGTCTCACCACATGCCATAAACTTCCAAACAGAAACTGCTGCATGTCCTAGAACTACCTTAATATTGCCACGGACCATTTAAATTCCCAAATCAGAATAAATAACATATCTGAACTTTAAAGGCAAAGAGAAGCACAGACCATAACAGCAGCAAAACTGTAATGCACAAACACCCCAAAGCTTCAAATTCTGTTTTATAAAAGTCCACGTTTCATGAAGACCACACGGCTTTCATGCTTTTGAGAGCACTACCCAAAGGGATAATGCAGGAGAAAAAACAACAACTATGCTAAGTCTATTTTGAAGTATTAGCAAGCTTTGTACCTATCACCAATATAAGTGTCACCTTAAACGGCAGCAAAAGAAAACCCAATGTAAGTTCAATGCAAACAGGCAGCAGGAAATTATGTAGCCTTTAAGACAGTGCTACAGCCAGCAGCCCCGTGCTCCACTCTGCCCTCAGGAAGAAAGTTTCATTCATCTTTCAACATCTCAAAAAGATCAACTGATGATTCAGGTCTCAATATAGTAATTATTAGTGCAAAGAGCACACAGGTTTATAATGAAGATTCATGGCAGCTGCAGGCGTGGGGGACAGGAGAAGTTCGTAAGCTATTACTCACATGAACATTTGCAAAAGGCGCAGGGGATTCATAACTGGGCCCTGTAAGACTCGTGTTATACGGATGTATGCCTCAGTAGGAATGTTAGGGATTAACTGAGCTCCCCTTAAAAAAATACCAAAAGTACCAAAACATCGTTTATTAAGTAAGGGATAATTTGTTGATAAAAGATGTAATTGGAGACAAATAAATTTAAAGGAGTAATAAATAAAAGTAATTGTTTTCTGGCCAAAACGAACACATACTTAAGGTGGACATGAACTCAGTATAGCATACCATTCCCCCCTGCCACATCTCAACCATACTCTGTACAGATACAGCAAGTCAGCCTGGCATCATCCGTGGGGAAAGGCACCTTACCTATTGAAAATACATTTATTTAAAAGATGGAGAAGTCCATGAAAGGCTTTGGACACTCAGCTGTGGTTCATTAGTCAGTCTGTACACACAAGACCTCTAATAGCTTGTATCCTGTGCACTAGGGAAATGCAACTAAAGAATAAACTTCCTGAGCAATTAATGCATAATGATATAATTTCGTTAATCTCATTGGAAAGAATCTAGAATTGAAAGAGGAAACAGGGTGTGGATTTCTCTAGAAACAACAAATGCAAACAGCAAAGGGTGCTGCAGAGCAGCATGGCTGGGGCAGTGCTGGCAGAGGCTGGCTGCAGGGAGGAGCAGAGAAATGCCCAGTGCCTGAGCTGGCTCCCTGGCTGCCAGTGTTTCTGATCAACTCTGTGTTCCTGTAGCTCTTCTCTGATTTCATGTTTCATTTACTTACAAATAAGAAACTAATGAAGTGCAGACAAATGAAATACACGGAAGCTTTGGGTACCCGCCAGGGCAGAACCGGTCACACGCGGCAGAGATTAGCACGAGTTATGCAGGTCATCTGAACCACTGGAAATTGCATTCCTTCAGATTAACACAGATGGTCAGAACAAAAGGGAGAAAAAGGACAAGGCTATTCCTCAACACAGAAACCACTGCCTGCCAGGCTGCACAGGCTTTCTGTGCAAAATCCAGCTACAGACTTTCCATGATTTAAGTCAAATACTTAAGAAAATATAAAATTCATTTAACTTTATCGAGTCTCAGCAAGCTCACTCTGGTGCAAAGGTAAAGCCTCCCATTTTGATGGCAACTTCACGTTCAAAGATCAGCCAGCCAGCTCTCAACACGTGCCACAAGCTGAGACAATGCACGTTCCTGCACCAGCTGCCCTACCATTCCCACGTAATGCATAGCTCAAAAGAAGCAGGATCTGGGAAGTACTCACCACCTATCTTGGAACCTCTTCAGGAAAAGTCCACAGAGCTCAATTGCCTGAAGGAGAAAACAAAACAAACATGCTTTACATCACAGCTTTCTTCTAAGGGACAGCCTTCCTTCTTTTTGGCCTCCTCTCCACAAATTTTCCCAGTTCAAATCAGAATTTGTCGAAACACATGAAAGCTCTGCTACAGCTCTTGCTCTAAGTTGAGCGACAACTACTACTTCATCCTCTGCATTTGCTTTTGATTATTTGTCCTGAAAGAGAAATCAAAACCCATGTTGAAAAACACACAGATTTCTCTTGAATTTGCACAGTGATCTCTTCTGGCATTCAAAAATCTGCTGAAACCACCCCTACATCTTTTTGTAAAACACACTTCCAAAATAAGCAAGAATCAATTTCAAATTGCATCAAAATGCCGTGGTGGAAAGGTTTGCTTGATTTATGCCTTAGAATACTGCTATGCCAACATCCAAAAACAGGAGAAACAGCACTGGAATATAACAAGGCCTGTTCCAGGATTTCTGGAGCCATTAAGCATTGCTTTCAAAGGGCAGAAATCAGTTCTCTATCAGTTGAGCACGACACTCAAAAAAAGAATATAATAATATGCATCTTTTCAGTATCTGCTAGCTCTGAATACCAAGGTTCATCAGCACAAGAGTCACAGACAAGAGCACAAGGAGCGAGCTCACCTGGTCCTGCGATTCATAATCTCTCAAAGTTTGTGGTTAGGAAATCGAAAATGATAAGGAAATTGGGAAACTAACTTGCTCCAGTTCCCATCCTCCCACAGAACTGCTCACAGTTCGCCCTACTGCTCCTTGCCTCCAGCCCAATGCCTCCAGATGCTGCAATCTCACAGCTCTGCAACAAAACCCTCACAGTGCTCCATCCCAAAGTAACGTAGTTGGTCCTTCCAACAAAAAAACCCAGCCACAGAGATCCCAGATAGCAACAAGCCATCCAACAGTCACTTCTAGCACCCTACAAGGGGGAATTCCTCCTTTTGTGATTACATTCAAACCCTTCCACCACACCCTGAAGTATCCCTACTGCCAATTCATTCACCAGAGGTAACCACAAGCCTAGGTCAACACCTCCAGTACAGACAACAAACCTTCCAAATACAGATTCTGATTGTGTCCAAAGATTTGGAATCTCCCTCCTCCCAAGCACTAGCCATTTTCCCCACTGTGACACTACCTGTTGAATCTCAACCAGTATTTTATCAAAAGCATCAGTTACAATGCTGATAAATTGACTGACCAAGCAGGCCCATCTCTGCAACCCCCTACCAACAGCCTATGGAGACTGACCACACATGACTTGGCCAAGTACTGGACAGAAGCCTGGAGTACAGTTAGCACATCTCTGCACCATCCATAAGGAAAGAGTTTCACCAAAATTCTTCTTCTCCAGCTTCCTTCTGAGAACACCAGTAGCAAAAGACAGCTAAGATCAAAGCACATGGTATCATCTGCTCTCTTGCACACAACTGGTTGCCCTGCTATCAAAGGAAATCAGCATGTCTGACACAATCTGTTCCAGATTAATCCACGCTGCCTATTACTCATAAGCACCCGGAAGATGCTTAGGTGGGAAATAATTTATTAACTTCCAGGAAAATACTGTAATAAAAGTCAGACTGTACTGTAATTCCATCTCCTCCCATTTAAAACATTCAGCACTATATTTTTCCTTTTACATCATTACGGAAACCTCCATAATTTTCTACATGTTTTCAGAAATAATCACCAAGGAGAAACTGAAACACACCAAAGTCAAGCAGGCAGCTGAAATCAGGCTGATACACAAACCATCAGAAGAAGACAATTGCCATGAGGTGCCCTCTGCCCCGACCGCCTGCAATGCTGGCTGAGCGGCTCTGACCAAAGACCCAACCCTGCTGCGCACATCTTCCCAGCAGCTGGGGACTGTGTTATACAAACCTTTTCCCAAGGCCCAGAGAATTTGGAAAGAAAAATAAAGAAGGGAAAGAAGCCCACACCCTTTATGTGAGCGCTCCCTGATTGGTTCTCGTCCTATTTTATGCCAGCATCTTCCCTCTTCGGTGCAGATGTGAACTCCATCAGTCTACTGCTCACAGGAAGGAAGATCAGGACTCTACTAAAGTTTCTATTACTCCCAAGATCACCAGGCAGGAACTCACAGTTGTGAACTGGCAGCAACGCAGGCATTTAAACAGAGAATTTCAGCCTCAACATCTTCTTAGAAGAAAACCCATTATTCTCGTTTTTTACAGGAACGGATGTTAAGCGCTTCAGGCTGCTGACCAATGCAACCCAATGGAAAGACAACGTCAGAACCAAATTGGGTCACCAGCAAAAGAGGAAATGCAAACCAGAAGCACTTCTCATCTCTGTTCTATGCCACTGGTACAAATTATCGTGCCTTCCCCATGCGTGTCACATTCAGGAGACCTTACAGAACAGCACATCAAGATGATTTGGCTGTAGTTATATGCTTAATAAAACAAAAAGCCATTTCCCAGTCCTCAACTATATTTCTGCATTCCAAAACTTTTAGGAAAACAAAACAAAACAAAACAAAACAAACCTTGCCTATATTCTTATAATTATCCAAAACTTTTGCTCCAGCCTGAGGAGTAGAGGGTAACTGGCCAGCACATGTTAATCTCCATGTTAACAGCACAAGAAGTATTCAAATCCACTGCCAATTAAAAGTAAGGTATAATTGAATTAGCAGAAGCAACTTACGGCAGAAATTCAACTACAAAGCAGAATTAAAGGAAGAGATGTCAGTAACTTTTGGAGGCTGGGCAGGAAGAGGAGAGTGCATCAATCTACTATTTTCAGTTCTGTTAGCAGAAAGCTTAAGGAAGAGATGCGTTCAAAGAACAATTTGTAAAGACATTCCTCGGAAAAAGAGCTTCACTGACGGGTAAGAGAAATGAAGGTGACAAATGCTTTTTTGCTCTCATTTTCCAAGATGATTTCAGCCCCATTCCATTGCGCCATGTCACAGACATTAAATGTAGTTTCTTTGTACACAACGGAGAAGCCTCAAGTGTTGGTGCTTCTCATTCTCAAAGGGCAGCCATTTCACCCTGCTCCATCCCAGCCTCCACTTATTTCCCTCAGGCTGATATTTCTCTTGATCAGTCTCAATGCCGACTACCAGTAAGGCCCTCCCACACTTCCAAAGTCCAGCTTTCGTAACTGCACTAGGTCAAATGAATTCTGTTAGTGACACTGCCGTGCTTGAGAACAGTGCAACTTGTCTGCAATCCCTGTGTGCAGCTTTGGAAATAAACCCCAACGCTAGATGCTGCCTGTGCTTTGTTAGCAACGCTTCCTCACTACAATTTCTTTTTCATCTGGAATCTGCAGTTTCACAAAAATGTGGGCGTTTTTTCCTCTTTTTCTTACCCATGGCACAAAGAAACTCTCAGAGGGATGTATCCTGCAGGTTGCTTTGTTTTCCTCAAGGCCTTTCAATGAGGGAAGAGGCATCAGGCATTCCCCTGTCTGTCAGAGGATTTTCACTCCCCAGGCTCATTTCCAGCTCGCCTAAATCCAGCAGATCACTTGCATCACTTGGCACGCCTGTGGCTCCCAGCTAGCCTGCAGGTTAATTCTTTCTGGTTCCTGGGCAGGTTTTGCAGCCCTCACCATGCTCTAGGCTGCTACAGCTACAGATCTAGGCTAATTTAAAAGCTAATTCAAGTCTTCTATTCAGCATCCTGCTCTGACTGTAGTGCAGGTACATCTCAAGCTGTATGTCCCCTGAGGGGCTAGTAGTGCTTAGACAGATGCCTTGTGTTTCACCAGATTCAAGCGCCGTCCCTACTTTCTCTGCTTTGAATGCTGCCCATGGTACCTCTCCTACAACCACTTCACCTCAGCAATATGCCTACAACACCCCCAGAAGTGCACAATAATCTAAGCACTGAATGGGAAGCAGATGTACAGGTTCTCAAGGAGTATCACAGAAGCATCTGGTTAAGTCAGGGATTGAATTTCACTCCCTCAGGTCACTGACCCAGCTGCAACTCCATCACAAAATCATAGATAAGAGTCACAGAATCATTAAGGATGGAAAAGACCACTCAGATCATCTAGTTCAGTCCATCCCCACCATGCTCACTGACCACATCCCTCAGTGCCATATCTCCACGGACCTTGAGCACCTCCAGGGACGGTGACTCAACCACCCCCCTGGGCAGCCTGTGCCAGTGCCTCACCACTCTTTCTAAGAAGAAATGTTTCCTAACATCCAACCTGAACCTCCCTTGGTGTAACTTCAAGCCTCTCATCCTAGCCCCAGTAGCAGAGTCCATAGGTCCTAGACCTGCTTCAGCAGTCACTATGAACAGAAAACACACCTAAATTTGCACACATCAACCTGGACACATGCACTGGGGCAAACAGGGCCAGACAACCCAAAACTCTAGATCCAATCCCTCCATTTTCAGGGTGAAATTTTAGGAAATAAGCCATGCCATCACGCTCTGTTGCATACCTGCCACACCGATGTGCTATTATCAGAGTAGATACATTTCCCAGATAATTCAAAGAGCTTGCACCTAAACTGGTAGAAGATAAAGTCTAGAGTAAGTGTTGCGCCATCTCCAAAAAGCACTCTGAGCATCCCCAAAGGTTTATTTATTGAAGACAGCTTCATTGGAGCGGTTAAAGTGAAGAACAGCCTGAAGTGTGTGGTACAAGAATCTTATCTTTGGCTGATGCTGTCACAACACAAACAATTATCCATGCCAGGCTCAGGAAAACAACAGGGAACCAACAGAAACAGAAAAATACCCAAGCAAAGGGAAAACTTGCATGCCAACAAACGCCACAGGCTGCATGGCACTGGATCCATCTCACAGCCACAATTCTCCTGGCTTCAGAGGAGCTTTGCTCACTTCAGCCAAAGCTGAAGACTGCATTTTTTTTTGTATTATGTGTCACATTTGGCTTACGTACATCCTGCCAGGGACTCTCACAAGCTGGCTGAGAAACACGGGCCACCGGGGATGACTGTACCCACATCAGGACGGTGAGGA